TGGTATAATTTAAACCATTCGAAGAATTCTGAAAAATTAATGGAGGGTGTCGTTAATATTTACCCTGTTGCTTCTTTCGGACCATTCGTAATAACTGCTGAGGATCGGTATCAGTTTTTCCTGTTCCCTTATGGGCCACTGTAGATTTCCTCAATCCTGGAAGGCAACAAGGATGTTACTCACAAAATGTTTGCGCTCTCCATCTCTTTCTTAAAACATACATGCGCTAACAATTCCATTTTTTTTTTAAATTTTTTGTCTTCGTTTTATCAATGTTTTTGAAGTAATGTATTACATCTCTTCTCTCTCTCTCCATGAAGTAAGGAGACCATCATGCAGCTATGCCTACTAGAAGATGAATAGATTTTCTCGTTAAAAAGAGCACTAATTCAAAGTGGGGTGTGATTTTCAATCAGTAATTTTCATACCATTTTATTGATGCTTGATTTTGAATCAACTAATTGCACAGGAAAATGCTGAGCGAACTCAGAGTTACACGTATATATGAGGGTATTGAATTGAGTAAGAGATGAAGAACAATGTTTAAAGTGGTTCGGATGCTTAAATAAGCGAATCCTACGTCCACTGATATTGTATTAATAATAAGATCAGGTCTTGTTCAATGAGTTGGTTTATGGCTGGAGAATACAAGTGAATACAAGGGAGATAGAGAGAGAGTGTGTATGCTATTTTAGAGAAAAATTAGCTACTCCCTAAATGGGAGATGATCCTCTATTTATAGTGGGATGATTAAGGTAATGATTACTAAATCTGTGAGTGGGTCAGATTACCGTACAAATCTTTTTTTGTGTCCCGTTGCTCATGCTCGAGTGATTTCCTCGATTTGTGCGGGATTGGACACGTGGATCGTTTCTAGCCTTTCACCAATCTGACGCACACTCACTGCATTGGCAGGAACATGCTGCTCATGTCAGCACGCGACGTAACTGCATCTGAATGGCTGTAGAACCTACCTAAGCCCTGACCGTCTATGCTGATAAAGCCGGCGTCAGCCCTACTTTTTCAAGCATAACACATTTTCTTCTTGATAGAAATTAAAGAAGATAAAAGAGAGAGATTCTCCTATTGGCTACATGTTATAGACATGAGAACCCTCCACAATGAGAAGTGGACTTGGAAAAAGATGGAAGTCAATTCAGCTGAGAAAGTGGGTCTAGTAAAATTGACATTAATACAATTATGAAAATTAACCTTCACTCATGCCTTTTCAACCATTAGAAAAGGAAAAGAATCAAATTCAACCACCAAAAATTGAAAGCTCATTGCGACGTCGGTCATTGCCCCAGAACAACATCATCAATACAAACGCTTCATGAATTTTCTTGGGACGGAATTATTTTCCAGGAAAATTTTGAAAGAGAGAGACATGCTTTATTAATCTTGGAAACTGAATTCACCAAACTTTAGTATCTTTAGTTAAAGGGCTATGAAGGTTTGCGCCCACAGTTCGATTGTGACTAGATTTTAGCTTTGCAGCGTCCATCAGACTCCGCAGAAAGATGCTAGGCCACCTGGCCAACTACTATCACCATTTTAACCTCTCCCATCTTCTTCTCTTCTTTTCCTTATTCTTCTTGGAATTACGTTACATAAATTTGTCTCGAAAATTCAGACAGCAACATTTCTGAATAAGACGCGAATAAGAACCATGTTCTGTGGCGAGCAACATTTTCAGCTGGCTAACGAACGAACATAAAAAATGTGAATAGAGTTTTTGACATCTTGTGCCTATGAAAGGGCCATCCATCAAACTGGTATCATCACACCTGTCGATTTCAGCGGCTGCATATTTTCACAAATAAATTAAGAAAAATAAAATAAATAATGATGCCCGTGTAAACCTGTTCAATTACTTCAGTCCAGGTAAGATTGTCAACTAGTGGCTTTCTGAAATGGAGAAATAAATATGGCAGTTATAGGTATGAAGTTTAATTAATCACTATACCTACTTTTTAATTTATGCATTAACAATGAAGACAATGACAAAATAAACTACATGTTTGTTCGTACTGTTAATTTATACTAAAGAATCTGACAGCCTTGAGAGATTATTTTTTTTTCTCCAGGAATTAATTAACTTGCAGCTGCAGCCTTGCTGATTTGAACTGTTTTGCATGTATATAAAAATACCCCTAGTGTCAAGCTAGGTATATTGAAGAAGAAGAATATTGTAGAAAAATAAACACTTTTAAAAATTGATAATCCAAATTCATCCACCTTTTGTTGCTTCTACTGATTAAAGAAATATACATTACTTAACATTCTGAGTAGGGATTTAATTTATCAGTTCTTTCCATTGTACTTGTTCTCCCAGCTTCAAAATGAGATTAAAGAGTTAATTAACCAAATTTTATTTAATTAATTCTGCAAAGAAGTGATGGGAAGATATAGCTAGACTTGAAGTTGTGGTCCTACACAAAGTTGTGACAAGCTGTTTGGGTTGCTTAGTCAGGGCTGCCATTGGGGTCCCGCACCCAACTAATTAGCTTTCATTTCTAGCCCTTTAACTCAAAAGACTTGCCTCTTCGTTATAAATGAGGGAGCATCAACTCCATACTTTTGCAGCTGTGCATCCAGATTACCATTTTAATGAGTTGGGGTAGCTTCAAGTTGCGGCAATAAGAGAAGGTGTGTGTAGAGCAAGATGGAGAAGCAGGGCACGTGCATTACTAACTCATGCACACACACCCAAACAAACTACATTTTTGGCTGCGGTTTAAAATACCTTGAATACTCAAAGGTTCTGTGTCATCTCCAGTGAGTTAGTTTTTCATGTGCCCATCTTCCATATGACCACGCACCTTATAATTATAAACAGTACTCAACTAAACTACTGCGAAGATTTTCACGGCAAAAATCATCATCAAACCAATCAAAAAGAAAGGAAGTAAAGCCCTTCAGGTGAGTTATGATCAAAATCTGTTTGAAATATTATTTGATGACATTTTTTTTCCCCGAACAAAACCCTCTGGTGTAAAGTTCTGGTCTCTTATATCTGAAGATTTATGTTAGATAGTTTTTTAGAAAGATGTAGGGATCGATAAGGCTAAGGAAAGATGAGCATGCACTGATTTTGAGATATGATTAGAGTGAAATTTCAGCAATGTGGGGTTGGATAAACATTGACTGAATTATCATACTATTGTCATAATAGAAGAATATGAGACCATTCAAGGTTTGGGAGTCAGAATCGGGGCGCCGTGAAGTTTGGTTAAACTCCAAATTTAAGGTTTTTAATTTGCTGATTCCTTTTTCCTCAAGATAACACACAGACTGACAAGAACAAATCAAAACGCGAAATTTGAACGAATGCAAATTTTTATGCAGCAAAAACAAGGTAACTATAATCTGGTAATGCATAAAAAATTGCTTTGTGGATTTAAGTGGTATATATGTAGATATATCATAACAAATTCCTTGACAAAATGTACTCTATGTGATTAATAGCTTAATCAAGGAACTCATTTTAGCTAAAAAATTGTTCTTCCTGCGACTTTGAGTGATGATTTTCTTCTGTTTTCTTAATTTCCTTGCTTTTTTTTTTTTTATATTAAGACAACTCTGTGAGTGGTACTACAGAAGTAAAGAAAGAGTACCTGAGAAAAGAAATTCAAAGAAATTTCATCCAAACCACCATGCAGTGCAACTTTTGAATAGAATTATCAGTTATATCTAAAGTGGCAAGAGTACATTTTCTTCTTTAATATTCTTTTTAGCCCTCTAGGATGATTAGTTGTTTTAAAGATAAGAAAAAGAAAAGCAGCAGTCGAACATCAAAGAGAGATTTAAGGAGAAATTAAAGGGTTTTTTCATCTAGCTTCCTTTCTTTTCTTCTCTTTTCTCTTTTCTTTTTCAGCCATTGATATGATCAAGTAATCAAGCACTATTGGAGATAAATCTAGCTAACTAACTCATCATATTTATGATAAAAGAGATTACTTTTGGTCTTTCTTGAACAGGCAAAGTCGGTAGCACCACCTGGAGACAATACAAGATAACCACCACATGCCTATTCTATCTCTTCCTTCTCTTCCTTCACATCCACGTTGGATTGACGATGAAAAGCCATACACAGCACACAAACTCTTTTCTTTGATTTCAAGAATGTATGATTTTCTCATTTACCCAGATAGCGGACTTTTTCCCGGTTGCAGTTTTTGAAGGTAGTACAGAAAAGGATGGTCATTCTTTTGTAAATCTGATACCCAATCTGTTCTTCATTATTATCATTATTTTGTTAGGTAGCAGCACCGCATTTAATTTCTATTTAATTTTTTAATGACTTTTTAACTGTTAAGCGTTAACCAGAGAATTAACTGCATGCAGTCAGTAAGGTAAGGTTATATCAAGAATTGAAAATTGGAACAATTTACTTCTATTCCTGGGCTTGTCATGTATTCAGATGACCCATTTCTTTAATTGTTCATATTTCATGTTAAATGTTTTTTTGTTTTTTGGACATGGGAGTAGGGGTGTCCGACTAGCTTGTACGCATCTCAATAAATCTTTTAGGATTCTGAAGTTGATAAATGGATATATCCTCTCAATAACCACTTTTATTAGTAATTCAATACATCGGACTTAGAACATCTTGAGTAATGATCATCCAATGGGAGTTCATGTTAAATGTTGTAGTTGGCAAATAATTTACAGTGTCGCTTAATAAGTTTTGAGAACTTGTAAAAAGAAAGCCTTTAAAGTATAAAGGTTTGCCAAATGAAATAATGACACGAGTGAGAGCAGCTTCACAAATTTTTGCATACCTGTAGACTGTAGTTTTGTTTTGAGATTGATACGTTTTCTTCTTGCCACCAAAGAGCACTTTTCTGGCCGACAAAAGTAAAGGTGCTAAATTTTCTTACTTTTTAACTTTTCCTTTAGAAAATCATTGAAGCATCCTAAATAAATTATAACTTTTGTCCCATGTAAGGTGAAAGTATGCCCGAATCATTAAAGTAGTACTCTTTTCCTTCGTATCTGTCATTAGAACCACAGACTTAAAAGTTTGGATAACGTTACACAACTCTCAAATATCTTTTACTGTAAGTCTTTGTACAATCTCTCTAAAGAAAATGACATAACAACAGAAACGAATCAAATGAAGTCAAATTAGAAAAGCCAAAGGGCTGCACGTGAATATTTTCAATACAAACAAACATGTCATCAGATTATTGTACACCATGATGTCGATACCGGGGAAGAGGGAATCAGCTTGATCACCTTTACAAGCAAATGCTATGTAGCTAGAAATGGCATGCTTGATACAGAGGCTGAAATCAGGAGGAAATGAATCTTCAGTATTTCCACAGAGTGTAATTCAAGCAAAAGACCTTTTAGTGCTTAATCGACGAGGATGTCCTTTTACTTCAACTCAAAGGGACTCCGAAGAGACACTTGCACATGGAAGCAGTGATAAGCCAACCAACTAGATCTTCAGCTATTTATTAGTTAGTTTTACGGGGAAAAGAGAAAGACATACACATTAATAACAACAGATATCGCCCACCACCGACAGTAACTCAGTTACTGATCAAATATCATTCTTCAAGTTATCCACCAAACCAGTCAGAGAGGTATTTGAAAAATCAAGTTTGGACCCGGAGCTAAGAAGAAGAGCTTTCCAAACTCTAGCCCCTGGAGATACATTCTTCTCACCCATTTTTTTAAGCAATTCAAGGGCTCTACAAACCAGACCTCTATGGCACAACCCACAAATTGCCTTATCAAACATCAAACTTGGCGGGCAAAAATCTTTATCCAATACTTCCTCCAACAAATAGCAAGCTTCAATAACTTCACCTTTACTGACCAAACCATTAATCATAATAGTATACGTCTGCAAATTCATTGCAATGCCTTCCAATCCCATCTCCCTCATAAGCTCCTTTGACCTCCCCAGCTCCCCAACCTTACACAACTCCCTCAGTAACGTATAATAAGTAATCACATTAGGCTTGCATCCCAACTCCTCCATACAAGCAATCATCTTGATTCCGGCTTCAACATTATTTTTCTTACATAAACAATTTATATACACATTGTAGGTATGAACATTAGGAACCAAACCCAACACAAGCAATTCATCAAACAGCTTCTCTGCTTTCACATAATCTTCATCTGCAACAACCCCACTCATAACCATACCATAACAAACAATATCAGGTTTAATACCATCTAATTTCATCTTATTCAAAACATTCAAAGCCTCCAAACCCTTTTCTTTCTTCACCAAACACCTAATCACATTAGTATAATCAACCATACCAGGACAAAACCCTAACTTTCTAATTCCTTCAAGAAAGCCTAAAACCTGAACACTTGACAAATCTTTTTCTTCACAAACTGATGCCAATACTAAAGAGAAAGTTCTTGAATCAACACTAAATCCATCATTTATCATTCCATTTAACATCTCAATTGCATAACCAACTCTATTTATTCTACAAAGAGCACGTATCAATAACCGAAAACATGATTCTTCTATTCTAATATTCATAAGTTGACTCTTTAACAAGATTTGAGGGACCATTTTAATACGTTCTTTATTTCTACAAAGAACAGAAAGCAGAGTATTGAGTGAGTACACAGAAGGGACACACCTGAACTTGGAAATCCTATAAAACAGATTAATAGAATCATGAATTTTATTAGCATCTGCATAAAGTTTAATAAGATCAGCAAGAATATACTCTGGTGTTTCGAATTTTTCATTCCGTTCAAGGTAGTCAAGAACAGAGAGAAGTTGACAAAATTGTGAGGTTTCTGCTAGGGTTTTGATGATAAAGTGGTAGGCTTCCGGGGTTGGTTCACAATTATAGATGTCAAAGGAGTGTATAAGAGAAGAGAGGATATATGGTCGGTTTGATTTTTGTTGTTGTTGTTGTTGTATTGCTGGTGGCATTGTTAAAGACTGCTTAAGATTTTGCATGGCTTGTTGTTGATTGAAAGTTTGGTGCCATTTGGCTTTGTAGGGTGACAATGGCCATTTTCTGTGCTTTCTAAGGTAAGGATTGGCGCGCTTTAGGGGAGAGGACCTGACCATTTTGAGTTTCAGGACTGTGTGAACAGATCTGAAACGAAGATGAGGGTTTTGGAATGATATTTAAAGGCTTCTACAATGGGTAAGTAAGGTTTTTATATATCAAAAAAAAAAAAAAAAGAGAGGTTACGAAGTACCGCGAAGCCAAGACAAAAATGATAAAAGCACACGAACCCGTCTCAAAAGCACGCAAACTCGAAAATAGAAACACAAAAACAGACACAACCGCCCAAATAGAAACACAACAAGGGATACAAACGCCCAAAGAGAGCACGTAGGCTATACGATAAAGAAAAACGAATAAAAACCTAGGATGACTGTCCTTTCTTCTTATTAGAGCTGATGGTGGGCTGCATCGTGCTAGGTTGGGCTTAAAAATTCAAGGTCTGTCGTGTTGTGGGCGGTGTCATACCAAAACTCAAAGAAATTCATGTCTTGTTGTGTCGATTTATCAAATTTGAAGGCTCATGACACGACCAGTTATATACCGTGTTATGCCATGGGCTATACTATAGGTTGGCCCGCTTGCTTTGTGGGTTGGCCTACAAATGATTTTTTTAACATTTACAAATTGCAATAATTTTGATTTATTATTAATAATTATTATAAAAATATTTTATATGTTATATTTAGTGATATTTTGCATTTGTATTAATTAAAAAATATATAATCACTATGAAATATAATAAAATAATAAGATATTAAAATATTAATTGAATTTCAATACTTTTTATTACTTAAATTATACATATAAACTTAGAAATTTCTATTTTTTTATTTTTTTTCGTGTCATGCCATGCCGACCTATGTGCCTTTTTTAATGCCCACGTCATAGCCCGCATGATCATGGGTCATGTTGTGTTGTGTTTTTTTTTCATACCGTGCCTTGTCATGCTATGCTTTTTTTGTGTCGTGCCATAGGCCGACACGGCCCATCTGCCGGCTCTACTTCTTACTCTTCTTATCGTTAGGCGCCAACAGAAGACGAGAGGACTAGGACTGGAGCATGGGTCCCTCCCTCTGTATCAAAGTGGAGTTTTTAATATTTTGCAGTAACCACTTCAATTCACCAACCATTAGAGGAGTTACACAATATTTACCTAATTAATTAATTAGTTTCTGTTTTATTTTAATCAATTTTTTTTATTGGTTACTTGGGGTTGTCTGGGCTAGCATATACGCATCTCAACTAGTTCTCCGACTCCGAACAAGGCTTCCAAAACAAGGCAAACCCTGTGATCCGTGACCAACAATATTAGCACCATTTCTTGTGATTCGAACCTGAGACCACAGGGGGAGCAAACCCCTTGGGCCCAAGCCTTTATCACTGACCAACCCATTGTTGGTTTATTTTAATCTATTTTGTTTTTAAATTTGAGTTGCCTTCCTTTTTATTTTTTAATAACTAATAATTAGGAGAAATAATATTCTCTGCAGATTATAAATTTAGCAACAAGTGAACACGCACAAGACTTTGTCATCTTCCCCAACAACACGGTTTGAATTGTCGTCAAAATCTGATAATCCAAACTCTCTAGAAAAAACGCCACTGAATGTCATTGTATAAGACGAAGCAATTTATGAATGAAATGTATAGAACAAGACCCTTTTGTTTCTGTCAATCCTCATTCAATAAGGTTTCTTCAATACTACTCTGCGCATCATTTTCTCCATCAACCGCGTTACACGCTAACCAGTAAGCATGAAGATCATAAATATAGTTGATTTCCCATCCCAAATGAAGTTACATAGATTGCTTCTCCATACCCATCATCTCATTTGTTTATTTTCTGTCAACTTCTATATAAATATAATAACCGCGTCTGACACGCCCTGAATCACTATATTTAAGAAGACTCACAGTAGGATTTCTCATCAAAAACCGAAGCGATTCATTCTGCAAACTCACTCCAATGGCGCATTTTACTGGCACTACCAATCCACCAACTGATATTTATCCTCCTCCTCCTCCACCACCACCACCACCACCACCACCACCACGAGCAGCAGTTGCTAATAGCGTTTCAATTATAGGCCCTCAATTTTGTGGCCATACTTATCCCATTGATCTTGCAATTGTGAGAAAGTTTTTTACCATAACTGATGGAAATTTTGTTGTGCAAGACATCAATGGTAACATCCTTTTTAAAGTGAAAGGTACCTTGTTAACCGTTCATGATCGCCGCGTTCTACTTGACTCAACTGGAAATCCCATTGTCACTCTGCGGCGAAAGGTCTCGTGATTGATTTTTTTATTTTTTATTTTTGCAAAGAGAACATTCTATCTGCAAGTATATCTCACTAATTAATTTATTTTCTTTGTTGTAGATAATGACAGCTCATGATAGATGGCAAGTTTTCAGGGGAGAAAGTACAGAGCTAAGTGATCTAATCTTTACTGCTAAACGATCTTCAATGTTTCAATTAAAGACCAAGTTAGATGTGTTCTTAGCAAACAATACAAAGGAGGATGTTTGTGATTTCAAGATCAAAGGAAGTTGGCTTGAGCGATCTTGTGTTATTTATGCTGGAGAGTCCTCCACAGTTGTTGCCCAGGTAAGAACATTAATAAAACCATATGGTATTATTAATCAGATAATAGATGATAATATACAAGTAATTAGTCACTAATTGAATTAATTCTTTGATTTGAAGATGCACAAGAAGCACACTGCTGAAAGCATATTGCTTGGAAAGGACAAGTTCATGGTGACAGTTTATCCTAACATCGATTACGCATTCATAGTCTCTCTTATTGTGATTCTTGATGCAATCAACACTGAATCCGGTGGTGGATCTGGGGGTGGCTCTGACATCCTTTCTGGCGTTGAATTCTGATTTTCCTCTCTTCTTTTATTTGAAGAGACTTGTGCCATTGCTTGGCTTTCTGGGGCTTGATTGGTCGCTTCTGAAGTTTTCCAAGTCCACTAGTGATCTTTTTTTTTTTATGGAGTTTTGTTTATAGAATTCAACTGTTAATGTCTAATAATTATGAAATTTCATTATTATACTTAGAATCAGTCACAATCCTTCAGGAATTACTAAAAAATTTCCAATATGCATGTAAAGAATATCTTCTGCAGTGCAGATGATACATTCAGCTACCGAAACACAATAACTCATACAAACGAAATCAAATAATCGATCACTCAACAAAGTATAAACACTTTGTCAACTTCCCCAACAACACAATTTGTTGTGTCACTGTATGTATTGTTATGCCTAAAAAATCAAGGTTCACATGAGCTTATGCCAGCAAGGGTCAATTAGAGTTCAAGAAAGCTATGTCATCTAGACATTGCCACGTCACATAATGACGGAAGAAGTAAGGCCATCGTTAGTGTTGCAGGTAAATGCCAAGCTTGTGAGTGGCTAGAAATTGTCCACCTGCCCAAGCCCTATGCGATTTAAGGATGTCTTCCGTGCAGACAACCAATGGGAAGCGGGTTAGGAATTGTACCACACCTGCCCAGCTGCAGAGTCATGATTACTACCTTGAATCGCCCAACTATAAATAGAGGGCTCCTCTCTTTTTTATGGAATTGACTCATCTTTAGTCTAAAAAAGCATACGCTCTCTCTCTCTATAGATTGTAATTCAGCTTGCTGTACGCGACCTGACTGTAACCACCTATTAATTCAACCACAGTGGACGTATGATTCGCTTTTAAGCATCCAAACCATTTTAAAAATCGCTTCTTATTTATTCTCTCATTACATATTTTCATATCACGTATAATTTCTAAATCCGCTTAACACTTTACACGTGTGAGTCGTTGATGTCAAAATCAAACATCAACATGTACGTAGTCTAACTCGAAGCAATTTATGAATGACATTTACATAACAGGACCCTTTTGTTTCATTAATTGTTGAAGTTGCGAAAATGTTAAACTAATAGAATATGCTTTTGGTAACCGCCAACGGTACTGTTCATAATTCTCTTTCTTGTCCTTTCGGCTTCACTTCGAATTATAAATCTTGGAACCTGCATATCCTCCCCATTTTCACATGCCTCCCAACTTGACTGGATTCAATTCGGAAGGTTTCTTTCATGCTGCTGCACATCATTTTCTCTATCAACCTGCGTTATGCTAATTTATTTTCGTAATTTGTAAGGATGAATCATTCATTATAGAGATAGATTGTCTTATATTTTCTCTATCAACCTATGCTCTAATGCGTTTACGTGACCCGCTATTGTTGGAGTGGTCGGCAACTGCAACAAGAATTATCCTATTGTTCTTGCAATAGAGATCGAGAAACGTTATGAGTCTTATGACCATGGCTTATGGTAATTAAATTTGTTATGCAAGACAACAATTAGAGCATCCTTAGTAACTTCAAATTAAACCAACAAACATAAAAATGCCTAAGATAAAGCTAGCTAGAGAATAAGCATATTTTAAAGTCATGTCACATCAACCAGACTAAAAGGCGCCGGCTAAAGGGACTTACACTTTATAATTTTATCACGTGGTTTATATCTAATTTTATAAACTAAACAACTAAATTAATGCATGACATATCAGACTTCCATTTCTGGAGCAATCCTACAACTTGCATATCTTCAGACCTCACCTGCAACTTGTTTTATTTAAATCCTTTTGCTCATTCAAATTCAGAGAAAAGCTTATGGGAGAAATACAGTAAGAAGTTTCCGATTAGTACTTAAGTGACTTCCCAAAAAGAAGTTGCAAATATATATAAACAGTCGCCTTGGATGACCATGGTCTCATACTTTATTTATTAATTCTTTCATAATATTGTGAGTGGCCCTTGATCATATAAATTTAAGCCTCAAACACAAGGATTTTCATCAACATCAAAATCAAAGCAATTCTTTCTGCAAACTCACTCTCAAAATGGCACATTTAACCAGCAATTACCCACCAACCGGTACATATCCTCCTCCACCAGCACCAGCAGCAACTGGTATATATTTTCCTCCTCCACCACCACCAGCACAAACTGGTACATATCCTCCTCCTCCTCCACCACTAGCACAAACTGGTACATATTCTCCTCATCCACCCCCACCAGCACCAACTGGTATATATTCTCCTCCTCCACCAACACCAGCACCAACTGGTACATATTCTCCTCCTCCACCACCACATGCACCAACCGGTATATATTCTACCCCTCCACCAACACCACCACTACCCGTTGCGAATAGTGTAACAGTTATAGGCCCCCAATTTTGCGAGCATACTTATCCCGTTGATCTTGCAATTGTGAGAAAGTTATTGACCATAACTGATGGAAACTTTGTTGTGCAAGACATCAATGGCAACACTCTTTTCAAAGTGAAAGGTGCCTTGTTAACCGTTCATAATCGCCGCGTTCTACTTGACTCAGCTGGAAAGCCCATTGTCACTCTGCGGAAAAAGGTCTTGTGATTGATTTGCTGCTGCTCAAAGAACTTTCTATCTGCAAGTATTGGTTACACTTAACAACTATCTTCAACTCTATTAAATTTATTTTTCATTTATGTAGATAATGACAGCTCATGACAGATGGCAAGTCTTCAGGGGAGAGAGTAAAGAACCTAGTGATCTAATCTTTACTGCTAAACGATCTTCAATGTTTCAATTAAAGACCAAGTTAGATGTGTTCTTAGCAAGCAATACAAAGGAGGATGTTTGTGATTTCAAGGTCAAAGGAAGTTGGTCAGAACGATCTTGTGTTATTCATGCTGGCGACTCCTCCGCAATTCTTGCCCAGGTAAGAACATTAATATAAAACCATATGGTATAATCAGGTAATAGATGATAATAGACAAGTCATTAGCGACTAATTGAATATTAATTACTGGATATGCACTATGCAGATGCACATGAAGGACACTGCTGAAAGCATATTGCTGGGAAAAGACCAGTTCACGGTGACAGTTTATCCTAAAATCGACTATGCATTCGTAATCTCTCTTATTGTGATTCTTGATGCAATTAACTCTGAAGGGAGTGCTGCTGACGTCCTTTCTGAATTCTGACCTTGAATTCAGATTTTCTTTCCTCTTTCGTTTGTATCTTCTATTGAAAAAAAATAAAAGAGTGGTTGAGTGATTATTTTCAGTGTAATAAAATATTCTGCTAGTTGTCGACTTTAGACTTGCCATAACTTGGCTTTCTGGGGCTTGAATTGTCGCTTCTGAAGTTTTCCAAGTCTATTTACTGGTCTCTTTGATGGACTGACTAATAAAACGTTACAAACGGTTCAATAATTAGCTGCTAAATTAAGGAAGAAAGAATTGTTGACCCAATTATACAATCTACACAGCAACCAACTCCTCTGTTTTTTCTCTTTGCATAATCCCCTTCTGAAACGGCCCCTCTATAATCATAGATTCGTAGTACAACAAAGAAAACCAAATTAATACCGTCTGAATTTCTTCTTTCTTAAAGCAATTCAAACCTTTTGTCTTCTTCTTCACCGAACACCTATTGACATTAGTATCATCAACCTTACCCTGACAAAACCCTGATTTTCTCATATTCAAGAAACCCTATTACATCAATATTAACAGCAATTTGTTGATTCAACACTATCCTTCATGGGTAAACTGAAGGGAACACACCCGAATTTGGGTATTCTGAAGGCTAATAGAAACTTGAATTCTACCAAAATCCCTATAAATTTCAACTACAAAAGCGGTTTCCAATGTAAAACAACTCGAAACCAATTCGAGCTAGCAACCTGGAACTATGTATGCTTCAGATAATTAACTATACTTTTTCAAATAACATAAGTAGTAATTTAGTACCCAGAGGAAAGCAAATATGCAACCGAAATGAAATAATAAAGGCCGCTAAAGATATTTATGAACATGAACAGGACATTGTCAACTTGCCTCACCACAGGGTTGTATTATCAAATTCATATGCCTTGTCTATTAAATACATTGATTATATAATCCATTAAAAAAACTTGCATCATACTGCAATTGCATGCCCAGAACTTTTTTTTTTTTTTTTTAATGATTAGGGGTGTTTGAAATCAACTTATGCGTCCCTCAACTAATCTTTCGAGATCCTGAAACTACCAACTACTGGCTACCCTTATTAATAATTGAGGAGGGACTCGAACTCACGACCTTTTGAACAATATACCCAAGAGTTGCTATCAAATCGCTTGACCATATAGTTCACGCCTAAACTTTCCTTTCGGTAACCTTCTATCAACTTAATAATTATATATATATATTTTTCATCTCTACTCCAAGTTGTCTCCATCAGGAAGAAGATCGTGAAAAGTCTTGATCCCATCGCCAATTAAATCCCTTTAACCAATTCAAATCTAGATAAGGCTTTAGAGAAATAGAATGAAAATTTGTGAAGTACTTAACCTCTAATAAACAAGTATCAAAAGGCTTTCCATTACTAGTCACTTCGAAAATTCTTCATCCGATTTTTGTTTTTTTCTTTGTTAGTTTGCTATATCCGCGTCTTACAGGTCCTTGACCGAATGTATATAAGAAGCACTGCAGAATCTTAAATTTTCAAAGTAAAGATATTCCTTGATCACCTCTCTTTCAATGGCACATTTCGCTTATACTTCTCCACCAGTAGCTAATCCCTTTTCAATTATAAGCCCTCAGTTCTGCGCTCATCCTTATCCGGTTGAACTTGCAATAGTTAACAAGGTTAAGACCATGACCGATGGAAAATTTGTTGTGCAAGATATGAATGTCAACATCCATTTCAAATTGAAAGTTAAGAAGTCAAGCTCTGCCGCGTTTTAATCGACTCTGCTGGAAACCCCATTGTCACACCAAGAGAGAAGGTCTTGTATCACTATTTTTTGTATCTGCCTGTACGAATTTCACTTCACTTCATCACTGTTTTCTGCAATAGTTGATTTATTTTGGTTTATACATATAAGAACAGCTCATGAAAGATGGCAAGTTTTCAGGGGAGATAGTACAGGGTCCAGAAATCTAATATTTAGTGTTAAACGGTCCTCATTGCTGCAATCAATTACAAAGCCTAAGTTAAATGTGTTCTTAGCAAACAATACTGAGGACAATGTTTGTGATTTCAAGGTTAGAGGAAATTGGCTGGAACGATCTTCTGTTATTTATGCCGGAGAGTCCTCCACAATTGTTGCCAAAGTAAGAACATCAATATTTTATTCCATTAAGATTTTTTTATTACTTAATTTGTATTTTGCACAGTCTATCTCATCTTTTACTGATCATGTTTAAAGCTTAATTCAATTCTTCTTGTTTATGCAGCTGCATAAGAATTGCACGGCTCCAAGAATCTTGATTGGGAAGGAGCGTTTCATGGTGACAGTGTACCCCAACATGGATTATGCATTCATTATTGCCCTTATTGTGATTCTTGATGCAATTAACTCCGAAGACGGTGATGAAGACTATTATGAATCCTCATTCCCTCAAAACGTCAGTCAAATGGTTGATGTAGCCGGAAACGTCAGTCAAATGGTTGATGTAGCCGGAAACGTCAGTCAAATGGTTGATGCAGCTGGAAACGTCACTCAAATGGTTGATGTAGCTGAAAACCTCAATCAAATGGCTGATGGAGAAGATGTAGCTGACGATAATGATGATGAAGACTATGAAGACTATGATATATGAATCCTCATTCCCTGAAAGCCTCAGTCTAATGGTTGAAGTAGGAGATGATAACGACGATAATTTGATTTTCTCTCCTCAATCATTTGAATTTTCCTTGTACATTGTCAAGTTTTTATTTTAGTGTAATAAGATATGTTTCTAATTTTATATGTTAGACAATGTTGAACTTTATATTAAACCCAAATAAAGTCATTAGCAGCTCTTGATTTTACTAGGATTACTGTCCTTTCTTCTTACTAGAGCTGGCGGTGGGCTGATTCGTGCTATTCCGGGCTTAAAAATTCAAAGCATGTCATGTCGGAGGTTGTGTCGTGCCAAAGCCCACAGCAATTAATACCTTGTCATGTTGTGTTGACCTATCACATTTGAAGGCCCATGGCACGGCCAGTTATATATTGTGTCGTGCCGTAGGTCATGCTGTGGGTTTGCCCGCATGCTTTGTGGGCTGGCCTATAAATTATTTTTTTAATATTTATAAGTTAAAGTAATTTTGATTTATTATTAATAATTATTATAAAAATATTTTATATATTATATTTAGTGAATTTTGTATTTATACTAATTATAAAGTATATAATCATTATAAAATATAATAAAATAATAAGACATTAAAGGCGTGTTTGGTTCAGTTTTATTATCCATAATGGATCTGAGTTTTTAAATAATGTTTGTTTTATTATTTGCACAATCCAATCTGCAAAATATGTTTCCTGACAGTTTTCTAACTTTCTTTTTTACCGTTGGCTTTTATTTTTCTCAGCTTTCTCTTCATTGACATTTCCCACTTTTTTTTTTTTTTTTTAACCATTGGCTTTTATTTTTCTCAGCTTTTTCATTATTCTTCACTGACATTCCCCGCTTTAACACTTCACCATTTTTAACTTTCTCAGTTCACCACTATTTTTAACTTTGGAAAGTATATTGTGATCGTCAAAACGGGACAGAATATGCCCGAAATGGAGAAGGACCGAGTCAATCGTAACAAAGTATTATGGACAACTGTATGGGATAACATAACGAATGCACTGTGGGCAGTACAGTGGACCATGTCGTAATTGTTAATGGAGTATACGTGTAATAATGATTATAAGGGTTGATAATTAATACTTTTGTCATATATGTATTAATGTGGTGCTTTTAAACAGTTGGATTAGTACTTGAAATTAATATGAGTTTTTGTTTTTTAATATCTACGGGTGACAAAATTACTAATAAAATATTTAGTATTATTAAAATGTAACTTGATAAGTTATATATATAATAATACATTATTTTAACAAAATGCAACAAAATATTATATTAATCAATCATTTATAAAAAAATATATTAATTAAATATTCAACACAAATGTCAACGTCAAAATACTCTATCAAACACATATTCTGTAAATCTTATTCTCGTAATCATAACCCTATCACACTATCCAATACTATCCCTAAAATCCTATCCAAAATAATAAACCAAATATATCCTAAAATATTAATTAAATTTGAATACTTTTTATTGTTTATAAGATATAATTATAAATTAGTAATTTTTATTTTTTATTTTTTTTCGTGTCGTACTATACTAGTCACGTGCCTTTTTTTTAATGCCCACGACATAGCCTACATTATCGTAAGCCGTGCCATACGACATTTTTTTGCGTATGAAGTCTTATCATGTCGTGCTTTTTTTCGTGTTGTGCCAGCTCTACTTCTTACTCTCCTTACCATTGGACACCAACAGACTCGAAAGACAAGATCCCACAAGAGGACAAGATCCCACAAGAGGACTAGGATTGGAGCATGGATCCCTCCGTACCAAAGCGGAGTTTTTAACCACTACAGTCCACCAACCACCAGAGGAGTTACACAATATTTACCTAATTAATTAAATATTTTCTGTATTATTTTAATCTATTTTGTTTTTAAATTTGAGTTGCCTCGCTTTTTGTTTTTTAATATCTAATAATTACGAGAAATAATATTCTCTTCATATTATAAACTTAGCAACAAGTGAACACGCACAAGACTTTGTCAACTTCCCCAACAACACGGTTTTAATTGTCGTCAAAATCTGATAATCCAAAATCTCTAGAAAAAATCCACAGAATGTCATTGTATAAGACGAAGCAATTTATGAATGAAATTTACAGAACAAGGTTTCTTCAATACTGCTCTGCACATCATTTTCTCCATCAACCGCGTTACACGCTAACCAGTAAGCTTGAAGATCATAAATATAGTTTACTTCCCATCCCAAATGAAGTTACATAGATTGCTTCTCCATACACATAATCTCATTTGTTTATTTTCTGTCAACTTCAATAATAAATATAACAATAATGCTACGGACATCAGGATACTTACACCCAAATCTTGTACCGGCCTACGTGTCCCCTGACTAACACAAGACATGTTTGACGTTACTAAATTTTTTTCTAGTGAACGGTCGTTTATCAAATATGGGCAGTCATTCACTTACATGAACTCCCATCCATATTATATGGACAGGGGTCTATTTACTACAGACGGACGTAGGACACCCGTCCATCAGTAAA